GCAACTTCTCGTCGTGCTTGCTGCTGTCTTGTCTTCTTTCTCCCTGTTAAGTAACCCTAAGTTAACATATCTTTGAATAGTGGCACGGTAGCAAATTCATGTGTTAATCTTTAAGATATACAATTTTAGGTACAAGACTCTGCAGCTACATTTAAAGGCTGGTCACAAAGTGTTTTTACGTTTTATTATACTGACATAGGGATGGACATTATTTGAGCTCTATAATCATAATTGAATATTTTTATATCAGCATAAGGAAATTTATACTAAGAAGTCATATTTCCCGAGTATTCTTGACATCAGGCTGCCCTATTGTAGAAATTAAGCGCTTTTATGTGTGACGTCTTTCAGTCAGGTGAATGCTTGCATACTTTTTTTTTTTGGTCCCGAAATGCTACCATTTTTTATGATTTTATAACTTGTGTTTGATTACAGTAAAGTTTCAGTGGATGCAACTATTTTACATATTGGTGAACTTGTATAATTGCCCTCCAATTACAGTAACTTAATTAATAATTACGGTAATGGATCAAATACGATTGAATCAATATAAATACTTACAGATATTTAAACCGTATTGTTCTTGGGCTCAGGTCAGGTACTTCATTCTTTGTACTTCGAACTCTAGCTTACCTTAAGATTGTTGCTGACCTTTGCAGTGAACACCACTTCAGGTTCTGCTTTCACCCTTTATTTTCAGAATAAATGTGAAATTTTATCTGAAATAAAGGCACTTTTGTGCAAAATAAGCTTTTTTTTGTGCAGCTTCAGGATCATCTTTAAGAGCCATGCACTTAGCACTAAGAGGTTGCTTTATATGCAGCAGTTCATTTTCTGAACACAGGTAGGGGGTATTGGATGAAGTATTTTCCTTTGCACATTTTATCAGCATTGAAGTCTTAATAATGTTATGATGTCTGTGTTATGTATGGTTGCCTTGCTCATTCAGGTGCACTTCAGCTGTTGAAGGGAACAAACAAGTAGACACAGGCAGCAGATTGTGGCCCATGGAGTTCTCCTTGCATCTCCTTAGAGAGCCAGCTCAGAGCCTCAGACAGCTCAAAATACTGCCTCTCAGGTAATGTGGATATTACTCAAGCAGTGTAGTTAGTCTTTGTCAGATAATGTCTTTCCCAGACACTGTTATCTCTTGGTTTGCCCATATCAGAACAAGATGTATACTGAAAAAACAATGGTCACAGAAAGGTAGGTACAGAGCTCCTTATCTGCAGACATCAGAAGGAAACTCACCTGCTTACCAGAACGTTTATCTTGTAGCTCTTGTCCACTCTAAAAGTGGCTGAGCAGCACAGTTTATCTTCTGGAGAAATCAAAGTGCTTCAGCCAGTGAGAATTTCTCTCTGGTGACTGTTTTATTCTTATACTTGTTCCTGAAATGTATGTGGCATGACAGGTAACACAAAGCTCAGTAAGACTATTGCTCTTTGGATCTGTGCTGGCTGTCAGGTGCTTGCATTGATTTGGACATGTGGTTCCTGCTGTAACATATACAGGTGTGTACATATACAGGTGCAGATCCAAAATCAGCTTGTTTTGTTCTCATAGAGCTGTGACAAGAGTACAAGATCTGTATAGGCTAAAGAAAGGTTAGTTGCATTTAACTGGGTAGAGGGGGAGAAAATAGAATCATAGAATGTTTTGGGTTGGAAGGGACCTCAAAGGTCATCTAGTTCCAGGGACACCTTCCACTAGACCATGTTGCTCAGAGCCCCGTCCAGCCTGATTTTGAACACTTCCAGGGATAGGGCATCTGCAAGTACTTTATATAAAATACATACAGCACTTTTGTAGTTTTACAATAATCTACTGTTTGTACATTCTCCACAACTGAGATGTTAAGTTACTCAGCTATTTCACTGTCCATTCACTTTTATATTTAACAATTCAAATACCAAAATTACAGAAGTAACAAAAAATGAGCAAGGGTTGATGTGATTTGTTAGTTTTGTCTTTGCAACAGTCTTTCTCGTTCCCTAGACAAGGCTGGAAATTAGGGTGCTTTTTTTTTAAATGGATGTAATTTTTTTAACTGACACATTTTTTTTCATTTGGGTATCATAATGACAAAAGGTAATGCTGCAACTCACTTTTAAACAGACAATTTTTTGTTAAAAAACAGAATTGGAGTCATGCTCTAGACTGTATGCATTTGAATCAAACAGTTCAGGAATCTGGGTGTGTTTAGGAAGAAAAGAGGGAAGAATGACTAGCCCAACCAGAGAAGTAGAGTGATTCTACATCTAAAATACATACCTGGTGCAAAGTGCATTCAAGTTAGAGGAAGTGTCTAATGATTTTCTTCCCTTCATTTTAGAAGAAGGAAGAAAAGAATGCGGAGTTCACAGTTGTTGATTGTTTCCAGCAGAAATTTGACCCTGCAGTAAGTACTAGTGAAAGCTCTTATGCCATGTATATGACTTCTAGGCCAGTTCTGTTCTAATTGTCAGTACCCTTTGTCAGACTGTGGTGAGATTTGAGTAATAGGTAGTAAATGGCTTCTTTAAGTCACGTAGAAATGCTATCTCTGGTGGCATCAAAGAATAATTAAAGTGTGCATAAGAGTGCACTGCATGCGAGACTGCAGTGGATGTGTACAAATCTGCATCAGTGTGTGTTGGCTGCTGGTTTCAGACCCTATATCACCAGTAACTGAGGTGAAGAGTCAGTATTACTATTTAGTGAACACTTATTTTGTTTAGGAAGGGAGCAACATGAGAACTTGTTGCTATTTGGAGAGGAAATTGTGTTGGTTTTGCAGGTGTTTGGAACTCCAGAGATGACTGGAGATGACTGGACCTTTTTCTCTTAAATCATGTACAATAAAAAAGCAGACTTGGTAGAATCATAGAATACCCTGAATTGAAAGGGACTCACAAGAATCATTGAATCCGGCTCCTGGCCCAGCACGGGACAACCCTGAGAATCACATCATGTGTCCAAACGCTTCTTGAACTCTGTCAAGTTTGGTGCTGTGACCAGTTCCCTGGAGAGCCTGTTCCAGTGCACAACTACCCTCAGGGTGAAGAACCTTTTCCTAATATCCCACCTAAACCTCCCCTTACACAGATTCATGACATTCCCTCAGATCCTATCACTGATCCCCAGAAACAAGAGATCAGAAAGGCTTTGTTTAAAAACTTGGAATCAATGATAGATTTATTATTAAATTTAATAGTATTTTTTAGATCCTAAATTAGACCAGCAATGCTATAGGGTCCTCTATGCCATTTTGTCTTGCAGTAACATTGGTTGGGATTTGGGCTCTTTTTTTGGTAAACCTATTGTAACTACAGAGGAAGCTCTTTCCCACAGGAAGAGATGTCCCTGCTTACAGAGGAATCTAACTGATGTCCCTGCTTACAGAGGAATCTAACTGTTGCTTGAAAAAGAAGCTGGTTTTTTATTTCCATTTATGCCTTCTACTCATGTTACATGCACTACAGGTTGCTTTTCTTAATTGTCTGAAATTTTTTTGTGTCTGTGAGAGTAACAGTTTTTTTCTTTTATACTTTGGAAAATGTGTTTTCCTTTTTTTCTAAGAGGAACACCTGCTTTATGTGATATGAATGTATCCTAAGGAAATTCTCTCTACTTAGGAGAATTTCTTGGGAGGAGTTCAGGGGAGTCCGTGTTCTTTAGTTATCTATATCCCTCCTAGACCTATCACTGATGCTTCTAGTTGTGGAATTTCCAGCTGCCTGTCTGTAACTGAAATGATGCTGTGTCTTTTTCTCGTGGATTACTATCCATCTGAGATTCATTGTGGTTTTGATCTTTTCAAATATGGATAATGACCAGAAAAATCACAGTTCACTATTTGTTCCTCTGCCTATCATTCTCTGGTGGTATTTATTTTATCCCTGTTTTCTTCATTAGGTGCTGCCCCTAAAACAGCAATGTGTTGTCAGAATAGCAGAAGAAGGTGTTAATTTGTGTCATCATGGAAAACTCTCATGGCCTGAAGTAAGAGACAGATACTTGCCAAAATGTGTTACTAAACAGGGGCATAATTGAGAAACATTTGAGGATTGCCCTGTGTTTAAGACTTACATAACTGTTCTGGTAATGGATATGATATCCTTTAAGAGAGATTAAGTATTTCATAAAAGACCTGTTATGGAAAGAATTATATAAGGTAATAGAATAATGAGTAAACTTGTGTGTAATATATACATTTGTTTATAGCAATGCAACAAATTTGGTTTGCATTCTTGTATACACGTAGAGCTATTGCAGTAGTACAGCTGTTGCCTATTAAAAAACTGCAAGACCTAATCACAATGCCAATATACTTGAAGGTGTAAAATCCATCTAAAGATGATACTGTGTCTTAGTTATCTATGATGTTATAACTGTCTGAAGAGGAAGAGCCAGAAAGGAGAATAGCTTTATGTGATAGCTCAAAGTCATCTTAGCTTATTTTTAAATAGATTTAAAAGTGAGTGTGTTTATCCTAAGTGAAAAATTGTGTGGGAGTTCATACTTCAGATTTAACCCTTTTATGCAGAAGCAAGTGTCCACAAAATGTTTGCTTTGGTATGGCTAAATTGCTTTCAGCTTCTGTTAAAAAGCTTTATGCTTCTGTTAAACCATTATGAATTTGAACATATGCAAAACTTAAATTTTATAATCCATTTGAAAGGCTAGGATGGAAGATGATGTCCTCTATTTCTTTGGTAGTGGTCTTTGACAATGAAACAAATGTCACGGGCACAAGAATTTTGTTGGAAGTAATTCTGTAAAAATGTCACCATAATAGGTGTAGGAAATTGTTTTAAGTAGTGTGGTCTTGATATGTCTCAAAGTGCATTATTTAACCATGTATAGTAGACAACTGTGTTGTTCTTTTCAATTATTGGGAAAATCTCTGAGCACCTCTGGAAAAAACAAGACTTGTTTATGAATTACCACTAAATAAACTAAACCCACTCTTCCCCACATAAGCCTGTACACAGGAGTTTATGGCTTATAGGCAACAGTGCAGTTTCTCCTACTTGCAAATCCTCTGTTCTTCGGTCCCTCACTCATTTTCCCTGCAACTGAATTTGTTCTACACAGTAACAAAGAGGCATGTTTTTCTATTTGATACCTTTCTTCTGAGACCCCAGGCTTTCGAAAATGGATTAAAAAAATACATAAAACATATTGAAGGTAAAACATATAAAAACATATTGAAGGTAAGAGTACATGGTGTGTAAGGACATTTGTAGTGGCAGAGGTCATATACATATATAATAATCTAGCTGCACCAAAAAAAGTTGCAGTTGGATACAGGTTTCCTTGATAGCTCTGTTGCTTCAGATCATATATGACTGCCGGTATGTCTCAGACTCTCTCTTTCACCAGTACAGTGTCCTTCAGTGTCTTGGATACACAAGTACCCTTCAAATATTCTGGTTTGGAACAAAAACTTCAACAAGAGAAACTTCAGGGCATTTTCTCAAAGAAGGTTTAACATTACTACAGTGTGACAGTTGTTGAACCATGTAAATGTTTGGGTTTGTTCTAGCTGAAAAGAAACAGCAGGCAAGGCTGATAGCGTTATTTAGAACCTTGTGGAGACCCATTTTAAAAGGTAGGTAAGATTTAATACTAACAGCAAGTTTAATGTGGTAAGATGTTTTAGCTGGTCTTGTTCAAACTTGGACCAACCTGAGGCTACAGTGACTTCACAGGGGCCGGGTCAGATTGGGCTTTGTATTCTTTCTTATTCTTTCTGCGCCTTTCACAAGTGTAGAAACAGATTCAGACTACAGGTATCCAGCGCTGGGAATCATCTGCAGGTAAAAGCAGTGGTGAAAGTGAGAGAACAGGCCAGGTTATCACAAAAATCTCTTTCTGCTGGTGCTGGCCCTAGTAGTTGTGGTAATTAATATGTGACTAATGGGAGAATCAGATCCTTCTCAGAGAGAATAAAGTAACATAATGGCTATGATCTTTCATAATAGGCACGGATATTTTATACATGGTTATGTATGACTTGTCCTTGCATTTATACTGACTTTTCATTTCATAGATATGAGTGCCTATAGTAACTCCTCAAAGCTCTAATCTGACCTATTTAGTAAGCTTTATAAGGCTGATTAAATATCAGCCCGTGTAAAGTCTTGACTGTATGAAAAAGGTAGGACTGAAAATTCCCACCAGTGCTCCCAACTATACTGTCTAGAACATGTAACTGATACAGTGGAAATAATTAACCAGAACTATGCACCCTAGGGTCCAAGGTACACAGAATTGCACTCGTTGTTTTGTTTCTTGGTATGAGCTGACACACATGCTTTTCTTGCACTGATAGATCTCTAGGCTTAGAGGTGCAATTACTCTGATTTGTTGGCCTGAATCCTTCTAATGTAGGTACGCTACTGATGTGGTCTGATTTTGGCCACCCTGTAGTGTACATGATATTGTGGAATTATCTTCTACTCTGTACTTCTGGAACAAATAGCTGGGAGATACTTCTGAGCAAATTCTCACAGATGCTTTTTTGAAGCACTTCTTAGAGACAGCTTCCCAGTATTGTTAAAATGGGAACAGGCTGTGTGCACAAGTGAGATTCTGCTTAAAAAAGGCAGCAATGGAGTTTAGAACTCTGGTTTACATGGGATCCTGCCTACATAATTTGAAAAATGTTATCCCTGGGTTTGGCCAGTTGTTTATTCCTTACCATAAGTAAACTAATGTAATTAACACACGATATAGAGAATGGCAGTATTCTGAGTTTCACTGTCTTTCCCATTGATGTTCTTATAGTACTTAAACATCACCTGTTGAAGTAACTTTTAATGATAAAGTTTGTGGAAGTTTGATACTATTTCACATTTGACTTCCTTGGGGGCAGGGGATGTGTCCCTGTTGGGCTATAGCAGCCTAAAAAGCTGCATAGTGAGCAGGCAACTGGCTGCTGTCAGTGCTTATAGACCTAATATTGCCTTCTGTGGCACTTCTATGCTGCATCAGGAGGCTGGAGCATCCTCACGCTGTGAAATCCTTGCCTGTTGTGTAAAATGTTGTTGGTTGCATATCTGTTTACTACCAAAAGAAATACCACAGTTTTTTCTAGAGGTTTGTGCTGAAAAAAATAAAGAAAATTTGACAGCTTGAGACTTTCCATAAGATAGAAGTCCATGCAAGGTTTAACCATAAAATGTACAAGTGAAGAAGTCACTGTTGCTGTCTGATTCCACAGATCAATGAATATGTACTACTTTTTAGCATGCTGTGGGTTTTCTGCCCTTAAATCCGTTAGCAAAGGATTTCACAGTGAAAGCTAAAACATTGCTTTCGTTGAGGGAAAGTTTATTCTATAACCTTGTTCATTCAGGTTAGAGTTTTTATTAATACTGATCACAAAGATACTTTTATTTCTGTTTAAATATTTAAGTATTTTCTTTTCTTATTTGGAAAGCATAGATTTTTTTTTTTTACTAGAAACTCTCTAACTATCTAGAATGTATTTCTACAGATTTGAACATCATCTTTGTTGTGATTTTGAGTAAAAGTAACTGACTGCTTGAGAAGGTCTATGCTGAGGTTCCTCTTCATCTGCATTTGGCCACTGAGAATGAAAAGCCAGAGAAGGTTTTAGTGGTCAGAAGTGGAATACAAAGGACAGTTCAGTAACAAGTGATGGAAACTTCCACTTTACCTAGTGATTTATGCTTATAATCTAGTAAAGGTCAGCTCTACCTGGATCTTCTCAATTTTTTTTTTTCTTTTCAATGAACTTATTGTTGCAGTTCCTTTCTCCACATATGTTTCCTGCCATTTTTCAGCTGGTGGTTGTAGTCTTCTTCCTTAGAAAATCAGTAAGTGGACTGGCTTAGCACTTTCTTCTAGTAGGCTTAACAAACACATGGCTTTTCTCCTAAAGAAGGCAGCAGTTATCTATTTGACTGGTGCCTCAGGGGCAGCTTTAGCATTATTAAGTCATATCAGGTTCTTTCCTATTGGACAGGAATAGATTTTTTTTTCCACCAAAGAGGTTACAGATAAGTTAGGAATGGAGGGGGAGGGAGGTTAATCTTGGAATTTAACCTCACTATAAGAGGCCAGTAGAGGCCAATTACAATTCTGTGCTCGCTACTGCAGGGGCTGAGCTGGTGCTGCCAAGCACTGTGTGGACAGGTCTAGGTAGCACACGGGCAGCATGTGCCAGAAAGCTCAAACAGTGGCTCTTGCAGTAAAACCAGGCTGACCTGTAAACTCATGGTGGTGTTAGTGGGATTGTAGATGTCTGCACAGAATGTTGGCTTAAGGTTTCTCAGGAGATAGTAGTAAGGAGAAAAGGGAGAAGTCAGTGGGGATTTCAGGGGACCTGAATGGGAATCTGGGCTTTTGAGTAGTGGAGGAAGTCAGAAGGGTAGGTTGTTCTAATGACAGATAGCTCAGTCTCAGGTTTTGACTGTGGATGCAGGTTTTTTATTTTTTCCTCTCCATTCCCCTGGTGAGTGGATTCTCTTCCAAGCATTCCTTTTCCATTGGGCTGTCAGGGCTGTTCCTACTTTTACTGCAAACAGGTAAAAAGGATGAAACCAGGATTAGAAACGAGCAAACACCATGACATGCTGTTGCTGCTGGAAGCTGTTGCCTGCTCTCTTCCTGGCTCTGTGTGCTGTCAAATACGAGTCTTACTGGCAAAATCAGGTTTTAGGCAAAAGGTTTATGACAACTTACATGTTCTTTCATCATGTTTTCTTTATATTGCATAACTATTTTAGCGTTTGGATAAAAGGCAAAACCATAAGTATCCTGGGAAAGCATCAGTGTATGTTTACTCTCTCCTGTTACTGAGAGTGCTGAGCTAGAAGGAGCTGTAGATTCTTTTATGTAACTTAACAGCTTTAAGGAGTCAGATTACTATCTCTGCAACTGTATGCAATCAAAATGTTGAATTGTTTGTTTTGTGGCATACTTTACTTCTAATATGCATCTCCACTGTCAAACCTCCACATTCTTTGCCTTGGATTAATGGACGTTGGTCATGGCATATTGATCCTTTCCATCACAGGCTGCTGATGCTCTGCAGTTTTCAATGACAAAGGTGTGCTTTCCTTCCACACCGTGTCTGCACATTACAGGAGTGTTTGATGCAGCCCTTGAAGATACCTTCCAAATGGAATGCCATCCTGAAGTGCAGGCAGCAGTTGCCTTCAATGAGTGATTCAGTAAAGCACCTTCTGAAGACTCAGTTGTGAGCTGTGCTTTGCCTATTTTGAGACGCTTCTGTTAATTTGCTTTTTTTAAGAGCATGGCACTAAAAAGTGGTTGAATTGCTGCAGATGAGGACATTTTGTAACAATGACTTGGGAGACAGGTATAAGCCTTAGTTGGCATCAGGGCTGGTATTTCCTAATAACTCATTTGAAATTGAGGTTTTGAAGAACCACAAAGCTTGTACAATAGAGGATATATACAACTTGGGTAAAAAAATGTTCTGGATATCATAGAATATTTGACTAATTCTGAAACCTAGTTTCAACAGAGCAAGTTGGTTACAATGAATCCCGAGTCAAGCAGGGAAAAAGAGAACCTTTATTGCCAGCACTGTTAGAATGAAAAAATACTAGTGTAGTTCAGCAGCATTTGCCAAATCATTATTCTCTATTGTCCTTGTTTTTGTTTATCTTTCAGATGGGGACAAGCAAGGGAAAACTTGATGGGTCAAGAGCTCCTAAGATTTGGGGAACATAATCCTGATAAATAGACTATTTCATATGAAAGGGACCTACACTGAGCATCTAGTCCAACTGCCTGACCAGTTCAGGGCTGACGAATTAAAGCCTGGTATTAAGGTCATTGCCCAAATGCCTCTAAAGCACTGGCAGCTTAGGGCATTGACTGCCTCTTTAGGAAGCCTGTTCCAATGTTTGACCGCCCTCTCAGTAAAGAAATGCTTCCTAATGTCCAGGCTAAAGCTCCCCTGGTACAGCTTGAACCATATCCATGTATCCTGTCACTGGATAGCAGGGAGAAGAGCTCAGTACCTCCCTCTCCCCGACTGGCTGGTGATGCCGTGTTTGATGCATCCCAAGGTGCCAGGGCACACTGCCAACTCACACTGAGCCTGCTGCCAACCAGGTCCCTATTTGCAGAGCTGCTCTCCAGCCACTCTCCCAATTTATACTTGTGTCCAATGTTATGCCATCCTAGATACATAATCTGGCATTTCAACTTGTAAAATTTCATCCCATTAATTGTAATCCAATGCTCCAATCTGTGTAGATTCCTCTGCAAGGCCTCTTGTCCCTCCAGAGTCAACAGCACCTCGCAGTTTGGTACCGTCAGCAAACTTGCTAATGGTGCATTTAACTCCTGTATCTAGATTGGCGATAAATATACTGAACAGAACTGGCTCTGAAATTGAATCGTGAGGAATACCACTGGTATTCCTCAACTGGTGCATGTTGACAGCCAGATGTATCCTCTGTTCATTAGAACCCTTTGAGCTCTGTCTGTCAGCCAGTTCTTCACCCAGAGCACCGTGAATCTGCTTATCCCACAGTTGGGCAACTCGTCCAGAAGTATGCTCAGAGGGACAGTATCAAAAGCCTTACTAAAATCCACAACCAGTGTGACCAGCAAGACCAGGGCAGTGATTATCCCCCTGTACTCATACTGGTGAGGCTGCATCTCCAGTACTGTGTCCAGTTTTGGGCCCCCCACAAGAAGGACATTGAGGTGCTGGAGCGTGTCTAGAGAAGGGCAACAAAACTGGTGAAGGGACTGGAGAAGAAGTCTCATGAGGAGTGGCTGAGGAAGCTGGAGTTGTTTAGCCCAGAGAAAAGGAGGCACATTCCCTACAACTACCTGAAAGGAGATTGTAACCAGGTGGGGGTCAGCTTCTTTTCTCTAGTAACAAGCAACAGGACAAGAGGAAATAGCCTCTAGTTGTGCCAGGGGAGTTTTAGATTGGATATTATAAAAGTTTCATCACTGAAAGGGTGGTCAGGCATTAGAATAAGCTGCCCAGGGAAGTGGTGGTGTCACCACCCCTAAAAGTATTTAAAAGACATGTGGATGTGGCACTTAGGGACACAGTTTAGTGGTGGACTTGGCAGTGCTGGATTAACAGTTGGACTCAATGATCTTTGAGGTTTTTCTAACTGAAATGATTCTCTGATTCTGTCCTTTTGCTGGGATTTTTAATTGCATGACCTTAATTTTTTTTGGGCCAGAGTGGTTGGGGTGGGGCTGGGGTCAAAAGACTTCCAAAGAAGCTATTAAATAAGGGAACTAGATGCTTAAGGAGACCTCAGTAGAGAGGCAGAATTTATTTACTGAAGAGGAACAATCTCTTTCCTAAAAGAGTACTTTTTCTCCCTTCATACTAGTCTTGTAACTTCCACAGTAAATAGGAGTGGTTTTGCACTGCCTGTTCATGGACTTAAAATCTTTCTCGAAAGCCTGGATTAAATGCTATTTAATATTGCTATAAAAGCTACTCAGTGAAACCTGTAATTCGAACACAGCATTATCTTTATGTAAGTTTTAGAATTCAATATTGTCTCTCAAAATTTCTATTTTGAGAATTCTGTATGGCAAATCTAAGCCAAATGACATGTCTTCCTTAGTTTATTATCCTATTGCTCTGAAGACTAAAAGTGGAAAATGACTGTGTAATATTCATGTAATAAGTATACCAGTGTAAACCATTCTGTACTGACAGTTTTGCTCAGGGTACCACAGTCATGGTGTTTAACTGTTCTTCTAGTTTCAGTTGTGATTGCTGAAGATGTTACTATCATAGGAGGTTTTTTTTTTCCCTTTAGGTCTTTTAGCTCAGTTCTTAGGAATCCAACCTGGTTTCAGAGACAGATTGGAGAGAACTAGCATTAAATGCTGGAATAGGTGTATGTTGGTTTTTGGTTTGTGTTTTGGTTGGTTGGTTGGTTGGTTTTTTTTAAGGAAGCAATCTCTCCTTCCAAACTTCTGCTTCTCCAACCACTACAGGTTTGTACACAGATGGCCCCAGAAGCTGAAAGCATACAGTAGCACTGAAAGTAAAGATCAGCATCAGGAAGTATGTTGTAAACTGCAGAAGAATGTGATGATAAGCTTTGTTAAAATTTTTTCTACTTTAATAACTGTCCTGGTTTTGGCTGGGAGAGAGTACATTTTCTTCTTAGGAACTGGTACAGTGCTGTGGTTTTTGGATTTGGTATGAGAACACACCAATGTTTTGGCAGTTGCTGAGTAGTGCTTATCCTAAGCCAAGGACTTTTCTGCTTTCCGTGCTCTGTCAGTGAGGAGGTGCACAAAAAGCTGTGAGGGAGCATGGCCAGGACAGGTGATCCAAACTGGCCAAATCAATATTCCATACCACAGAATGTCATGCCCAGAATTTAAACTGGAGGAGATACCTGGAAGGGGGCCGATCGCTGCTTGGGGATGGGATACTGTGCATCACTTGTTTCTTTTGGGTTTTATTCCTCTCTTAGCCTCTACTTACCATTACTATTATCATTATCATATATTATTATTGTTGTTGTTATTATCATCATCATTAGTATATTTTGTTTCAATTATTAAACTATTTTTATCTCAACTTAAAAGGTTTACCTTTTCTTTCCAATTCTCCTCCCTGCTGTGAAGGGGGTTGAGAGGAGTGAGTACGTGGCTGCGTGGTATATTACTGGTGGCTGGAATTAAACCGTAACAATAACTGTTTTCATTTGTTTTGGGATATACAGGAGAATCCTGACATATGGTTCTTGAGACTCTTCCCAGCTTCTCTGCTTAATGCACTTGTTCTGAACGCTATGTACCTCCTGCTGGTCCACTCATCTCTAATGGATAACTTGATGTCTGACCTATCAGCTGTAGCACATGGTTATTTTAATGCTTATTGGACTGTCCTGGAGATCACCTTGTGAGCACAAATGTAGGTATGTCTCTGCTTGTTTCTCTGGTAGTGATTTGATCTAAGGCTCTAATGGATAAATGCTGGAGGACCGAGCTACAGCAGCTTCCTTTTCACAGTGGTACACCCTCCTGTGTGCTACATACCTTGTTTCCTGTGTGCAGCAGCAAAAGTGATGGTGTCTGTATCTACCTATCTCCCTTTCATATTAGTTCCTTAGCAGAATCCACCTCTAGTTAGCCTAGTGGATGGTGAGTGGCAGCTGTTAAAGCGTGGGCACGGTCACCTGCGCCTTCTGTTCGCTCTCCTCAGAGCCTGAGAACAGCTGGGCTCAATAGGGGCAACGTACACGTGAGGAAATGAAGAGTAACAAGCAAATGTGATGTGTTGGTACCTGGAGCTGACAGGGTTGCTTTGTTTTGGTAAAAAATGTTTAGTCCTCACATCTTGTTCTATTTTTCTCCTAATCTGTCATCTTTACTGCTGAGCTGTTTTGCACACACTGGGTGTTTCTGAGTAACGTTTGTGAACCAAAGATTTTTATTTCTGTAAAAGCATCACTGAGTTATTTGGTCTTCCTAATTTATTTTCACATATATTATTTAAATCATTATTTTCATCTTTTGTTACACAGAACCATTAGTAGTGCATGCCCAGATACCTTGGAGGAGCTGGATGGTGGACACTTCTGTAATTTTGAAATTTATTAATTTTCAACGTGGAAAGTGCAGGAAATGAGATTTTTGGTGAAGGAGCTTGACTTCTTGCACTATTGGAAAGAACAGGTCCATGCAAAGCAAACAAGCAGTGGTATTGATGTGGCCTTTTTTCTGTCTTCTCAATGAAATAATCTTATGAGGGCTTGCAGTAACTATGTAAGACATTGTTGGTATTAGATTTGAGTGCAAAGTGCATGGTCAAACATCCTCATTCACCACAGAGACTGAACTAACATGATTAAATCCTCTTAGTGCCTCATTCTTACAGTTGTAAATGTCTTGAAATATTTATTAGGGAAAGAGAATGAAGTTCTATCTTCATGAAAGAAATAGGGGTTTTTTCCTCCCTGGTTTAACAAAGCACTGAAGCACAGACTTGGATCCCTTGGGAATTACTTAAGAGCTCAGAGCAGTAAATCCCATTAATGAGGATTTAGAGATTAGATAACACAAGAGATCATAGTTGCTCCACAGATATAAGCGAAGAGGTCATATCTGAAAACCTTTTCTTTTTAGAGGAAAGCTGCCAAAAAAAGAAGGTTGTTCATAGTTCATGAAAAAAAAATGAGCTGGACATGTGAATTTCCAATGTGCAATGCATGCAAAAGTAGGCATGACACAAGGGAAAAGAAGAGTCTGTTAAAGTGAAAACTACACATTCTGTTTTGCATTGGGCTATTTGTTTTCAGAATTTTTAAAGTGGTATTCAGGTTGTTGAAGACAATACCTTTGTAAATCCATTTATTCCATAAGATTAGCCAAGGAATTAATTTGATCCTTAGTATTTCAAATGCCATTTTGAAAATCTATTTAATATAACATCTGGTAATCATACTTTCTGCATTTTAAAGCTGTTGCCTTCTGAAGCAACTGCTTTAGAATTCTAGTATAGGGAGTAAAAGTAGCAATTTTCATCATCATTTCACTGTTAATAATTTTCTCTTGTTTCTATATCTTGTGAGAAGGTCACACAAATAAAAGTTTCTTCTACTTTATTTAAATCTGCTTGCAATACATATTTAAATGCAAAATATGGAGTGTGGTATAGTTAAATCTTGTCTATTACTTCTGTTTCTTCACTCAGTAAGTAAAAAAGTTAAGGGAATCCTTTGCAAGTTGATGAGTTCAGCTAAATCCATTTTAAGGCAAGAAAGAAAAAACCACAAACCTTTAGTTTCTGCAACTTCTAAGTTTTCCAGCTAAGTCTGTATTATTTCCTTAAATCAAAAAGCCTTTATCCAGATCTGATTTCAGAATGAAGTAATAGTCACAGTACTTACCCCCCCCCCATTTATTGTAGTGCTTTTTCATGGTTGTTTAGAAGTTTATGCACCACTAAAATCTATGTTATGCCTTCTATACACTTTGTGGAGCAACAGTTGAAATTTACCTGGAAAATGCTTTCAGTGGGCTATTTTACTTTTTACAATGACCAGTTACAATTTACACTTGTGCTCCACCTTGGACCCTTGGTGAACAGCAGTCTGGTGCTATGAGCTTGACTTCATCTTGGAGCCAGTGTCAACACTGGACTCCCTGTGCTTGATGACTGTGTTCTCCAGATGGGATCTGTTGCAGTTCCAATGCTACTGCAGCAGAAGTAATGGATCTCCTTGGATTCTGATACCTCTGCCAGGGAAAAATCTTGGAAACCTGAAGTATGTTATCTACTATGCTCTCTCCATGCTGGAGAACTGGAAGAGAGACGTCTGTTGCTGAAGCAGTACTGCAGCAAAGCCGAAGACAATAAATGCTCCAGGGCCATAAAGGTACCTTGCACTACTTCAGCTACTAAATTGGAAGGGGGATGTCACTCTTGAGTGAAAAGGAACCATCTGTGATACATCAAGCCCTTATTTGAAAGTTGTGGGAGCGAAAGTCACTAGGCAAGAGAGTCTCCAAGTTACCATGGCTTCTTTGATTTATAGGCACTTGGAGAAGATGACCAGATCAGGAAAATAACTTCTACTACTCCAGGTAAGGAAGCCTCTCCTGGGCCCTTCTCTGTTCTTTTCTAGTTTCTGGACTGTGCTATCTGAGCAGAATCACCAGGTCTTCAGCCTTTTGAAAAAGGTAAAGTTAGTTATGCAGATATGTCTTCTATTGTGCCTCTGGGCTACAGAGATGTTTGAGTATGTCCTACCTGACTGGAGCAATGAACAGAGCTGTGCTTCCCTGGCCTGCTCTTGTTTCCTCTGGTCTTACTGAGTGACATCATGTCACACAGAAGAATGCTTTTTTTTTTACTTCTCCCATTCCTCCAAACTTATGACACTCCCATGTAAACTATACTTACAAAACAAGTATACATACAGTTTCAATCATGAGACTTCATTAAAAATCAAATACTGAAGCTGGATGGATTACAGAGCCACACTTCTTCCTATCTCTAGCTGTCACATGTTGAATCTCAGCTCCTGGATCAGGGTTTACAACACTGAACTTCAGCTTTGACTAGCATGGAAACATCCACCTTATCTTTCCCAGCTCACTGCCATATCCAGTTCATAATGCCAACAGATTTTGTGTGTAATAACAGCATCAGGATATACTTGATGAAAAAGATGCTTTAGCTTTCCAGTCTGAGGTGCCTGTGAATCGAATAATGCTGAGTAACAACCAATAATGTTGAATAATGACTACTGGGCAGTTACCTACTCTCTCATTCTCTTGTCTAATCAGGGTATTCAACCTTTGGAAGCAGATCAGGACCAGACTCTCTTTTTTCTCCTCTTGGAAACAGCAGCAAGCAAAAGTGAATATGCATAATCATGGAGTAAAAGCCAATCCAGTTCACTTGCCCTTATGGATCACTGCATCCACTGAGAGCTGGAGAAAGACAAATGTGAATAAGGCTGATGAATGTAATTGTCACCACCCTTTCTTGGGCTCTGTATGCCCAGTTGCTGCAGTCAGTTTTCCACATGCATATCTTGTTCTTCCCTGATAAGTTTCTGTATCCTCTAACAGGCCCCCATTAGTGGCAAAATACCAGAATCACCTTCTGGCTAAATGCACAGCTCCTACTAGGGCCAGATCATCCTTGTGGCCTTCAACATATTCAGGAGTGCTTGATTTCAGACTTATGCATAATTGCATGTGTCTAATTTATTAACAATGGTAAAGTACTGCCAGTGGTCCACAGCAGCCACAAATAATAATGCAACACTCTTTTTGATGTAGGAGAGAATGAAGAAGAAAATAGAGAAAACAAAATAACAAGGAAATAAAAAGAAAGCCATCTCATTCATCATGATAATTTTGGAAATGTATGTTGACACTTTCTGTGGTTTCTTGTGTCATCACCTGCAAGTGGTAGTTGGGTCTTCTGAATAGTGGACACACCCTCATAAGCAACTGACGTTTTACCCACAAACCAGATGCAAAGCAGTAACCACTTTGTTATCAAAACCCTCAGCTTCCCTCTTCAGGGTCTTTCAGAAACTGATAATCCTCCTTGCTGCTGAGGGGAGGAACCCAACACAGACTTCTCACCCTGAATGTCCATGCAGTTTCCTGCATTTTTGGCATAACGTCTGCCAGCAGTAGTTCTTGTGGATGCAGACACCCAGTAAAATGGGTGTCTGTGCCTCTGCAACTCTGTCACTAGAAAAGAGCTAGTAAAGGAGCTACATGTGCTACAGTTCTAACTCTCCTTGTAGATTCATATTGTGTTGTTAAGTACTTGGAAATGCAGGCATGTTCTCATGTTTAGGACTTAAATTCAAAGAACCAAACCCATCAGTGTAAAGAAGCAAATGTTCTAGAAGTGCAGAGCCATCTTGTTTAAGTGGTGATAGTTCACGCTCAGGGCTCTAGTACCACAGAGCACACCCCTGCAGAGTTGATTTCACCAATGCACTTAAGGTAAAGCTGCAGTAGACAAAATGCAGTGCAGTAGATTATACAAGATAACACAATCATCACATGTGACATGCATAAACTCTGTTGTTTAAATATAATTGCTCCTGAACCAGAGGTTTTCTTAATTGGCAGGTGAGTTGGGACTACACATAATGCATATTAATCTTTATGAACATACAGCCTGAATTTTCTGCAACTTGGCTTGAAATGGCTTGGGGCATGGATTACTCCACACTGTAGGGTACAGCAGCAGTTAGGAAGATGGATGTGCATTATTCTGGTTAAACCAAACTGACAGTGGGGTGTTTTCAAGTAAGTGCTGCCTCTGCTTTTTTCTGTAATCCTGTCTAAATTATTTATCCTTCCTCTGGATCCATGCAAATTTTTAGACACAAGTTTGTAAGGTATGGCTTCCCTTTGCAAACACTGTGGTAATTCTTTTCCAGTGCATCACATCTGTATATCCACTCATCTGTTATTAGTGTTTCTACCAATGTGCTTATACAGACATCTGACTTACCGGTGTGTTGTTTCCTCTATCTTTCTTGAGACCTTTAAACATTTACCAAGTTCCATCCCTGGGTATCAAGGCAGGTTTTAAGCAAGATACTATAGTTACTAGTTCATCTTCCACTGTTCAGGAATTTTAGGTGAAATCCATCATGACATTTGTCTTTCAAGTATCGGGATTAAACATTTATGGATAATCTGAAACTGATTTTGGGTACATAATGAATAGGTTTGGAATGGGAATCTCCATTTTCATGCTGAATCAAGACAAAAAAGTGGTTTTTACAGTGCTGCTTTTGCATTCTGATCATCACTTGGTTGACATTTTGTGCTCTTCTCATGTTTACAGATATCTTTTTATTAGTTGTTATATTTTTTAAAATATTATCAAACATAGTCTGTCCTGCCCTTTGTTTTTTTCTGTAACTTCTGGGATGTAGAAGAGTGGTCTGGAGTGTCTCTGTACAGGATACAAACTAACTGCTGAGGCCACCCTTCTCGGTAAGACACTGAGCTGCATTCTCAGCCTCTTCCAGGAAGTAAATCCCTGGCTCGAATTGTATTATGGAATAAGGATTTCCAGGGAGGGACTTGACAGTCTAATTGCATATGTGCCACTCTACTGATTTAAGTAGCAAATTCCTGGATAAACATGGTTGCAGCTTTTCCTTTGGTTCTCTTTTGGGACCAGCATAAAGAGAAGTAGTAAGATTGGAATGGAGTAATCACTCATTGATGCACAAGACTGAAAATTATAGTTTTCTTAAAGGAGAAAAAAAGGGGTTTTTTTTTGATGGTCCACAAGCCCTTGTCATGCTGCTCTGTCTAAGCTTGGTAAAAGTAACCAAACCGTGCACACTTCCCGAACACTGCCAGTTCCCGGCTGCAGTTAGGGACACAAGTACCACCACTAGTTCAGGACAACTCTAGTGAAGTTTTACTGGGGCAGTAGTGATGGTCTTATTTTTACTGCCTAGTAACTGTGTGTTATGGTTGAAGCCCAGCTGGCAACTAAACACCACAGAGGCACTCCCTCAATCTCCCTCCCCCAGTGGAATGGGGAGGAGAACTAAAAGTAAAACTTCTAGGTTCAGATAAGAACAGTTTAATAATTGAGACCGAAGTAAAACATAGTAAGAACGATAATAGAAAGGGAAAGAAAAACAAGTGACGCACAATACAATTGCTCACCACTTACTGACAGATGCCAGACTGCCCTTCTCAAACCCAGATTGGCCCCCCTTCCAGGTAACTCTCCTCAGTTTATATACTGGGCATGACATTTTATGGTAAGGAATATCCCTTTGGCCAGCTGGGATCAGTTGTCCTGGCCATGCTTCCTCACACAGTTTCTCTTTTGTGCACCTCCTCACTGTGCCAAAAATCCCAAACCAACAAAACTGTCCTTGACTTGGCATAAATGCAATTTAGCAAACCCCAAAACATCACTGTGATAACGTTATTTTAATTCTGAATCCAAAACTCAGCACTGCACCAGCTACTGAGAAGAAATTAACTCCCTCCCAGCCAAAACCAGGACGCGGTGGTGCCTACAGAGATGGAGTGACACAGCTTAGTCATGAACACAATTTTTATCTCCATGTACTAAGTGGTCTGGATTAATCACGCTTTTAAGGATTTGCGGTAAATATACTATTTAGTGGTTTGGGGAAGCAGCGGTGCCGAACAGCCGATGGCCACAGCGTGTTTTCACTGCAAAGCCTCTTCGCAATTAACCTTCGGGCCTATTTCGTCCTGGGCTCCTCTGATGCAACTCTTCGTGCATGACAAAGCGAAGACGG